ATATATATATATGCAGTGCCTGAGGAGGCCAGAAGAGGGTATTGGTTCTCCTGGGACTGGAGTTATGGATGATGATTAGCTACCACGTAGGTGCTGGGAACTGAACGTGGGTCCTCTGCAAACACCAGTGCTCTTAAGTGCTGAATCATCTCTCCAGCCCTGGAGCCAGGGTTTTTGACTGCTGTGACCCAGGAAGATATCTAGAAGAAGGCCATAAATCCCAGGGTGCAAAAGGAAGAGGGTAGTCCATGTCCTTCAAGGAAATCATACATACCTTCCCTCCATATTCTCTCTCTCTCTCTCTCTCTCTCTCTCTCGTGTGTGTGTGTGTGTGTGTGTGTGTGTGTGTGTGATGTATGCATACATGTGGAGGCTAGAGGAGGACGTCACGTGTCCTGCTCCATCACTCTGTCTTATTCCCTTGAGACAGGGACTCTCACTGAACCCGGAGCTACGCTGACAGCGTCGGGCCTTTGTCTCACCAAGTGCTGGAGTTACAGGTACATGTGGTCAGACCCAGCTTTTTCTGAGTGCTTAGGATTAGAACTCAGGTCCTTATGATTACATAGCAAGTGTTCTTACTCAGTAAGCCATCTCTCACCACCCCTCTTTCTTTCTTGATAGGGCCTCACTATATGGTCTAGGTTGGCCTTGAATTTTTTTGTTTGTTGTTTGTTTGAGGCAGGTTTCCCCTGTAGCCTCAGTTGACTTGAGACCAGGCTAGCCTCCATCTCACAGAGATCCACCTGCCTGTGCCTCCTGAGTGCTGGGATTAAAGGCATGCATTACCATGCCCTGCTCTGGCCTTGAAACTTTGGTACACCTTGCCTCTACCTTCCAAGGGCCGGGATTATAGGTTGGCAGTGCCACACCCAGCTCTGTTTCCTTTCTTTCTGAAGCAAGTCTTTGAAGCCAGAATGTGTGTGGATAAGGTGCACTGGGCTTGGGACTTCCCAGAGGCTATCCTAGTGGCCTGGAACCTCCTTTTCATGAGCATAAGGCCCCATGAGCCTTAGAGCCCAAGGAGCTGCTGACACCGAAGTCTTAAGTCCCGTTCCTCCTCTGTGGAGTGTCCTTCAGTGGCCAGAGCTGCATCACCTGCACTGAGACTCACAGGGCTTACCTGTGATCTTTCCCCTTGCTGGTGTCTTCATACTGGGTACAGGCACCATGTTCATTCCTGTGTGAACTTGGGTCCAAGTGACACTTGCCCAGAATGTTGTCTCCTGTCCTCCCTGGACTCTACATGTCTGACTCGGTTCTGAAGACACTCCTGTGAGATTACTCCAGTCCCCTACAAAGCTGCCCTCTGCACTATTTTATCAGCAGGGCTACAAGCAGGAGGACAAAGTTTCTGTTTCATGTATGTCTGTGCTTTGGGCTCTGTATGCCTTACTTGATGTACTTCAAGTATACAGTACCTCTATCGTATACTAGGTGCCTTACATGGTACCTGCCATGTAACTGCTATTGTTATATTCGTGCTTACAGATGTGAAATGTGTCAGCGATGCCAAGTCACTGCTGTAGGACCACACAGCCACACAGGAGTCTATGATTCTTGCCCCTGCCTCCCTCTTAGCCCTAAGCTTGTACCCCTTTTCTCCTCCTGCTTTCTACCCTCTAGCCACAATGGCTCCCTCTACCTTTATCTAAAAGCAAACTAAGCTAGACAGAGTGATAGACACCTATAATCCCAGCATTTGGCTAGAGGCAGAAGGATCAGCAGTTCAAGACCAGCCTGGGCTTCTTGGGGCCCTGCCTCAAACAAAGAAAATAAAGATTAAAAAAAAAAAAAAACGCACAAAAGCAAACTAAAACCAAACAAAATAAACTACAAAAGTCAAACTTGGTTGGATCTTTGGATATTTTACTGGCTTTTGTTTGAACTACATCTCCAAAGCTTTGCAGAGCTGGTTCTTGCTTTTGAATGCATGGCACCTTCTGGAAGTCATGTTGGTCCATTCTGTCTAAAAGTCCCCCCACCAGCTTTTTTCATATGGCCTCTTATTATAGTCTTTGGTGCACTTACAGTTCCTGGTATTTTCTCATCATCTCTTTCCTTGCTTGTTATGCTAGACAGTACCAGTGCAATAGAAACTCCTTGAGGGCAGGGACCTTGTCTGCATTGCTGACCGCTAGATCCCTGGGACCTAGACTACCAACTGGTAGATAGCAGGCACTCAGGAAATATGTACTGAATAAATTACTTGAGTATTCAGACTTTTAGCCTCAACTTTATGAGACCTCTTCCTAACTTATAGTGCTTATAGAAATTGCAGTTTCTAGCATTTGACTTAGTTATTATGTATTTATGGCCATATTTCTTATACTGTTCGCCATTCTTTCATTTACACCCAGAGTCTGCCTGTGTGTGCAGCTGTTTCGTCACTGCTTCATGGGAACTGGTTGTGGCTTTCTGGCTAGAACTTGTGGCCAATGGACACCTGCGTTTCTTGTTTTATCCAGCAGAGGGCAGATCATCAAGCGCCTCCCAAGTAGCTGTTTGAAGGGAGGAGGGTGATGTCAGTGCACATTTTTTCTTTCTTTTTTTGTTGAACCCTTTTAACTAAACATTCTGTGTCTATGATAAATTTCTTTAGTTTTTTTTTTTTTTTTTAAACAGGTTTTAACAGCTAAGTCTTTAAGGTTTTGTTCAGCCTTTCTGGAGGTCCCGGGCTGATAGTCCCCCTGGGCTAGAAATCATTAGGGGCCACAAGGTGTTAAAAAACAAATTAACTCCTTTTGGGGACTAGAGAGATGGCTCAGAGGTTAAGAACACTGACTGTTCTTGCAGAAAACTCGGGTTCGAATCCCAGTACCCACATGGCAGCTAACTACTGTGTGTAACTCCAGTTCCAGGGGATCCGACAGCCTCTTCTGTCCTTTGAGGGCATTTATTGCATGACATGGGTGCACTTACCTACGTGCTGGCAATACATGCATACACATAAAATAAAAGTAGTAAATAAAATATTTTTTAAAAATTAACTCCTCTAGATTATTTTCCACCTGGTTTTACCGCACAACTGAAAAACCACTTAAATGGAGTTATGGAAAGAACGTTGACTGGTTGGCCAGTGTATTTTGGTATTTTGTGTCTGGAACTCATTTTCTTGAATTTTAATATTTGAGGAACTCTTTGGAAATTATTTCCAGAAAAGGGAAGGATTCCTCTCATTATGTATCAAACCACCTATCATGTAGACAAATTAGGTTGACATAAAACAGACATAGACACACACAGACACACACACACATCATCATCATCATCATCCAACATGTTAACATAAAAAATGGAAATAAAAGAAGAAAAACTTAAAATTCAATGGCAACATAAAAGAGACCTAGATTGTAGGCAAAAAGTTCATTCTATATTAAACTGTACTTTTTTTTTAGGTGGGTCACAAACTGACCTTTAAACTTTCTGGCCATCAATACTAAAACATCAATTAGCTTCAAGAAACAAGTGAATAATAACCTAGTATTTCCATCACTGACACATGAAGTGAATTGGCAAGTATTACTACATTCAAAGGCGTGGAGACAGACTGAGATTAGGAGCAACAGACTCATCAACGCAATATTTTCTCCCTCCCTTCCTTCTTCCTTCCTTCCTCCCTTCCTCCCTTCCTTTCTTTCTTCCCTTTCTCCCTCCCTCCCTTCCTCCCTTCTTCCCTTCTTTTCTTTCTTCCCTTCCTCCCTCCCTCCCTCCCTCCCTTCTTTTCTTTCTTCCCTTTCTCCCTCCCTCCCTACTTCCCTCCCTGCCCCATCCCTTCTTTCCATCTTTCCTTTCTCTTTTTTCTCTTTTTGAGCATGGGTCCCACTGTATACCCCTAGCTGGCGTGGAGTTCATGATGTAGACCAGGATAACTCATTATATAGATAAGGACAGCTCATTATGTAGACCAGGGTAGCAGTTTAGCCTAGAACTTGCTTCAATCCCCTGCCTCTACTTCCTGAACCCTGAAATTACAGGCACGAGCCCCACACCTGGAAATATTTTGAGCTCTTTAAATCAATATTCTGGGCTGGAGAGATGGCCCAGCAGTTAAGAGCACTGGCTGCTCTTGCAGAGGACCCGGGTTCAATTCCCAGTACCCAAATGGCAGCCTACAACCGTCTGTAACTCCAGTTCCAGGGGAATCTGACGCCACCTTTTGATTCTGTGAGCATGACAAGGGTGCACTTATATACATGCAGGCAATACACTCATACACATAAAATAAAAATAATAAAATATTTTTTAAAAAATCAATATTTATTTTCTTCTTTCTTTGCAGTACTTGTAGGAAAAAAAAAAACAAACCCAAATTGAGAAACTTGTAACTAAAAAAAGATGCAAATACTTCCCTCTTTTTTGTTAATCATGAGAGACAGCAAGTAGGTAGTCCAGGCGAAAGGTAAAGAAATGAACACTTAAAAGACTTACGTGTCGTCTATAAATGTTATTCCAAAGTACTCCTTTTCTTTCAGGTTGAAATGCGAAGCCACGAGGTCCAGCAACTCTCTTGATAAAAGTTTGGGCTGTCAAAACACAAATCTGTTTAGTAGCAATTCGCTTGCCTGTCTGTCTTCCTGTTTTTTTTTTTGTTGTTGTTGTTTTTTTCTCTAAACAGTTGAAAGTATTTTTTGCTTGCTTGTTTGATTTTTAAATACCTGCCTCCCATTGGCTGACTTTCATCTAGGCATTGTGGAAAGGAAAGGAGATGGAAATGCGAATTTTAATGAGATACCTACATTGTCCTGTGTCTGCAACTCCCTTAAGTACCTGACTTTTTCCCTTAAGGTAACAGCATGATCACCAATAAATGGGTGTTGTGGCAAAATACTCTTGTACAGAGCCTGATGCCAGTGACCAACACAAAGACCATTAAAAACTTTAATGCCTATGACACTGTCAATAAATATGGGAATAATTTTGTTTGGTTGTGACCAGTTGAAGAGGTTTAGGACATTGGAGGACTATAGAAAGAACTAACGATGAAAATAACATTGAAAGTTACTATAAATTGTGTTGAAATTACAGTTGTTATCTCATTTAATCTTTACCAGCCCGTGAGGTAGGGCTTTGTGCTTTTACTCAGATGAGCCAAACCAAGACCAACATCAAGGCCTTGCTACACACTGAGCCCAGTTCTGCTTCCCTCCAAAGCCTGCCTGTCCATTGAAGCAATTGTACCCATTCCTTATACCATTATCACCACCATGTACTGAGCACCCAGGTAGGGAAGTAACTAATCAATGAGATTTGGGGATTCCATGGGTCTGGTGGGAAGAAATGCAGTTTGGAATCTGCTGGAGTGTTCAACTGATGACTGATGCTGGTCTTGCAGGGGCTGGGGAATCAGGGGACCACTGAAGGGCAGACTGGATGGCTCCCTTCTGAACCCTGAGCCTTACAGTACAGGGAATGCGGTGATGATGGTCTGAAGATTGGATGTTTGCTATTAGAGAAGAAAAAATGGGGAGGAAGAGAGAGACAGGAAGGGGAAGATAGGAAGAAAGAGAGGAGAGAGAAAACAGGAAAAAAGAAAAAGTCAGGAAAGGAAAAGGACAGGAGAGAAAGGGGGAGAAGAAAAGAAAGGAACAAAGTGAGCTGAAATTTGGACTAAGTTGCACTGTGATGAACTACTATTCATTCTAATTGGAGCATGGGCACAGGGGATGGGAGACAAAGGAAAGCAGGCTTGGTCTCGGAGAGACATGTAGGTCAGCCATAGGTGTAGCTTGTCTACAGGAATTTCAACCATTTATTAAGACTTTTGGTCCAGGTGTTAGGCAAATAGAAAACAACCAACAAGTCAAATATACCCACTCATATTTACATGTTTACAAGAGCCTCCAAGCATACACAAACCAGCGTGCCTTAACCATAACCTTGTCAATAAGACTAGGCTACAGTAACTCATGTACAGACCAATGCCATCCCTTTGGTCTTGATCACTACACTCCGAGGCACTGGATTCTAGGCACAGTTAGGTGAGCAGCCTGGACAAAGGCCAACAGACTCCAAGGGAAGCCTGAAGAGGCTCTCTCTATGTGGGACACTTACCTGAACCAGCAGCTCCAATTTCCTGTCATCCAGCAGGTGTACCTGGCAGTGCCTGCCTTCTGTCATCTATGGGGACAAAAAAGCAAAAGTGGTGTGAGAGTTCCACCTGCCAGCAAACTGCATACTCACCTTATTGTTTCTATGTGGTATGCTCAGTTGAATTTGTTAATGGGCTTGCCAGAAGCAGACTTACTACAGATTTGCATTCATGTCCAACCTGTGGCCCATGGGCCACATGTGGTTAAGAATGACTATGAACATGGTCCAACACAAAATTGTAAACTTAAATCATTATGGGATTAAAAAAAATGACTGGATTCAGTTTTCAAACATAGATTTTGTAGATGACAGCATTGTATCGTAATGTCAAAAGGCTGGACAAGCCTGGGAATAATCACATGGATTTAAAATGGGGGAAAGATGGGACCAGAGAGATGACTCGGTGGTTAAGAGCACTGACTGCTCTTGCAGAGGACCTGGGTTCAGTTCCCAGCACCCACATGGTAGCTAACAACCAAACCATCTATAACTCCAGTTTCAGGGGATCCCACACCCTCATCTGCCTTCCTTAGGCACTGTATGCACATGATGCTCTTACATACATGCAGGCAAAACACTTATACTCATAAAAATAAGATAAGAAAAAGATGAAAAGCAAAGACTACTCACTATATGGGGAAACCCAACAAAGCCTATGCAATACACCACATTCAAACAGTGAAGAGGAGATCACACCAAGAAGCAGTTCTCTCAGAAGAGAGCATCTCGTTTTCCCTTGAGTCACAATTACATTTTTCAAATAGAAGCACCTTTCATCAGGACCGTGTCTTAGTAAATACAATATATCATAATACAAGAAGCAGATCATGACACTACAGTTCAGATGCAAATACTCACCTTTTGAACACTCAACTCCCTTTCAATATGTCACCATTTATAGACAGCAGTTAAAGCATACAGTTAACAGTCTGACATATCAATTCTCAATATGTATTATTTTACTTCAAATTTCAGTGCTAGGAGATATTCATTGTAAAATGTATGTCCCTCCCCTGATGAACTCTATTCCAGGCCCTCTCATCTGCAGGTATAACCACCCTGTCCGTTTGAGGAGAATCATGAAGGCCACCTCTATGTGCAGTTTCAGATGTGAACATTTCTAGATGATTCTTATGTTTTTTCTTTTCTTTCTTTTTAAGACAAGGTCTTACTATGTAGTCCAGGCAAAGGAAGCAGGATGATCACTCTGAGTTCAAGGCTAGCCAGAGCTACGAAGTCAATGTGACAACTTGCATCAAAAAATCAAACTTAACTAAAACAAAACAAAACAAAACAATACAATCCCATGGAAACAAACAAAAAAATAGAGAAAAAAAGAGAAAAATCATTTTTAGCTGTCTGTATTGTAAGGGGAAATAAAGAAATGTGTTGGTTTAAATCATTTACTTGTTTTGTAAAACCACTCATAAGAACCAATTCTCAAAAAAAAAAAATCCTCAAAAATCATATGAATCCATTAAGGAAAATACCACAAATAATAAAATAGTCCAAGTTACTCTGTTGTTACATAGTCCAAATACATTTATTTCTAGACTTCTTCCAGCCAATAAACTCTTTTTCTTTTCCCTCCTCCTCCTCCTCCTCCTCCTCCTCCTCCTCCTCTTCTCTCCTCCTCCTCCTTCTTTTTGTTTTCTGTTTTTTTGAGACAGGGTCTCACTGTGTAGCTTTATATAGATCAGGCTGGCTTTGAACTCACAGAGATCTACCTGCCTCTGACTCCTGAGTGCTGGGATTAAAGTTGAGTGCCCCCATGCCCAGTTACATTCCTTTTCTTCATACACAATTTTTTTCTAGATTTAAAACATATTTGAAACATATAATGATCCTGTAGATCAGGCTGGTTTCTAGCATTTTTGTAGCCATGAATGACCTTGAGCTGTTCTTCCTGTCTCTGCCTCCCAGCAGCTGGATTATTCTAGACAATTAATGAATATCTTTTTGATGTTCTAGCCATCTCATGACATACCAGGCAATGGTGCACAACTTGATCTCAGCTGAATGAGCCACCTGCCCCAGCTGAGCCAACCGGAGTTTCATTCCAGAGAATGTGGAATTGACTATGAACAGTTGGTTGCTGCGGGGCTGTCACTGTGTCACTGAGACTCTCACACTGTGAGAGAAATTCTGCAGGAAGAATGAGGAAGACAAGCAGCTAGAATGAGGCATGAGAAACCAAGTGGCTGATGGGAAAGCTTCAGGGCCGCTGTTGGGCTTTCTACCATCCTTCCAGTCAGTTCTCATGCTGTGGCAGTTCCTGTCAACCCACGAAACAGCCAAGAGTACCAGGATATCCGACTTTAATTGGACTCCACTTCCTCAAGCAAGAATGTCTTCATAAGACACTCCACAGGTTTTGCAGGAGCACATGTGGGGGTGTGCCCATGCTTGGGTGCCCATCTGCATGGCGGGCATGTGAAGTCATAGGACAAGTTCAGGGGTATCAGTCTTCAGGTGCCCTTCGCTTTTTGTTGGACACAGGGTCTCCCATTGGCCTGGGACTTCACCACTTAGGCGGGGTTAGCTGACCTATGAGCTTATAGGATCCATCTGTTTCTGTATCCCATCCCACATTACTGGGATTACAGGTACTCATCCTTACACCTGCCTTTTTACATGGGTTTTGGGGGTCTCAACTCCACTTGCTAGGCAAGTGCTTGACTGACTGTGACTTCTCCCTAGCCCACATGCCACAGGTTACTTAACTAAACCAAAACAACTGGTTTCCCAAGGTGAGACTCCCACATGATGCCCCTGATATGCTAAGGTTGCATGACCATCATCAGTGATGCTGCCATGGACAGGACAGCAATATTGCCCTCAGAGAGACTGACATCCAGGAGGGCAGTAGCAGACACTTCCCTGTATGGAGTGATGAGGGCAGAGGACGAGGGCAGGAGGAGAACAAGCTGCGGCTGTGTGTCCATGCTCCAGGCACCCTGTTCAATATTCCTGGAGCCCCTTCCTTTGGGGAAAGACACTTACCAAGGGACACAAGGTGGCTGATTTGATTGTTATGAGGAATAGAAATGCCTACCGTTGTCACTTAAATTGGAGGTTGAAAAGTGAGGGATGCATTTTGTTCATAACAATAATGCTTACGAATAAGTTTTAGTTGATAATATTAGAAATCAGGGGAGGCCATTGTTCTAGTTACTTTCTGTTGCTATGATGCAAACACTGACCAAAACCAACTTGGGAAGGAAAGGGTTTATTTGGCTTACATCTCCGAGGTCACATTTCATCACTAAGGAAACTCAAGGTAGGAACTCAGGGCAGGAACCTGGAGGCAGGAGCTGGAGCACAGACCATGGAGGAACACTGCTTACTGGCTTGCTTCCCTGGCCTCTGCTCAGCCTGCTTTCTTATATAACACAGGACCATCTGCTCCGGGGTGGCACCACCTACAGTGGGCTGGGCCCTCCCACATCACTCAACAATCAAGAAAATGCCCCACGGACATGGCTATAGGCCAATCCAATGGAGGAAATTCCTCAATTGAGATTCCCTCTGCCCAGGTGAGACAAGTTGACAACTAAAGCTGTCCAGCACAACCATGTAACGCAAATTCTCATGAAGAGTTTCTTTGACTAGGGGAAAGATTTGAGAACAGCAGGCTTGACTTCCTCCACGGCAGCATTTGGCCAGTGTAGAGCAGAGAAGCTCCCTCTTTGGATGGGCTTTGTCTCTGGTTCACCCAAGTGTATGACCTGCTGGGACCCAAGGTGTTCTGTCATGAGTGTGAGCAATCCCTGATTCAGTAAGGCCACATGGTACCAGGAAAGTGACACCAGCCTCAACGGAGGCCCTGCTGAGTACCAGGGTGGTTAATCTGGATCATTAACTTGACTGGATTAGTAAATACCTATGTTAGTAAAGCACATTTCTGGGTAGGTCTCTGAGAATGTTTCTAGAGAACATTAGATCATGAGGGTGCTGACCTAATGAATGGATTAATCCTTTGATGGATTCATGGAGTGTGATGGCATCATCAGGAGGTGGCAAAAGGTTGGAGGCAGTGTTATGTTGGGGAAGTAGGTGGTGCAATTTTGGAGTCTATATTTTGTCTGCCCCCTTCCTGTATGTGCCCTTTGCCCTGCTTTCTGGCTGCAGTGGGTTGAAGGAAACTTTCCATAACAGGTTCCTAGTACCATGATGCTTTGTCCAAATGCATGCGGCCAAGATCATGCACTGAGCAACCCGACGCTGAGCACAAATGAATCCCCCTTGCCTTAAATTATGTCAGGTGGTTTGGTCACAGCAGTGCAAAAGTAACTAATACAATGTTCAACACTTAATTATAGTCAACATGGAAGGTTTTCAACCTATGAAGAAACCTAAGCCAGTAACACACTCATCGTAAGCAGCAGCAATCAAGGCCTGAGGAGTGAAGTTGTTTGCATGGAATTTCCTAGCCAGGTAGACTCTGCTCAACACCACACAGGCTAGTGTGCACAGATACACACACACACACAGACACACACACTCACTCACTCACATGTACGTGAAGTTCTGAGTATTGAATGTAGTACCTTATGCATGTTAGACAAGTGCTCTGCCACTGTCCTATACCTCCAGCCCTCCATGTGGTGTTATTGCTTACCAGCTGTACTGCCTTAAGAAGTTACTTCATAGTTCTGAACCTCTCAAGAAATTCTCTGATAGTTTTTAATCAGATACTCTGAGTGAGATAAACCACTCTGAGGTTCATAGTAATCATAGCCCTGTTTTAGCTTCCTTTCTGTAGCTATGATAAAATACTCTAAACAAAAGCAACTAAAGGGTGGAAAGGGTTTATTTAGCTTTCACTTCTAGGTCACAGTTCATCATTTGGACTCGAAGGAGAAACCATGGAGGAATGCTACTTGCTGGCTAGTTCATGGGCTCATATTTAGGTAGCCTTCTTATGTAGCCCAGGACCAGGCTAGTCACAATGGGCTGGGCCCTCCTACACTCATTAACAATCAAGACAATCCTTCATAGAGATGACCACAGGTCAACCTGATAAA